GTACGTAATTCCGCCTCGAGTAAATTCCAGCTTATTCAGTTACCTTCCAGCACTTTCCATTGCTCACGTAAGCTTATGTAAGCAGTATTGCTTACATAATCAATACCTATAATAATCTACAGAAATCGTAGATTATTATAGTATATATTATGCTTACGTAATATTGATAATAAGGCGAATAATAAGGTAAACAAAGTTACCTTCGTAACAACTTTTTATTTATTATAAATAAAATTATTATAATTAAAACTATAATATTACTTATAAACCTCGATAGTAAGTAGTTAATAATATAGTTATTTTTTTTTTATAATAAGTTTAAAAAAGTATTTTAATTTAAGTACTAAGTAAGTATTATATTATTTTATTAAAACTATATTCTTATACTTATAACTTAGAAAGAATTAACTTTCTTTGATAATAAGGTACTTAGATATACGCTTTAGGGTTTCCCGTCTCACTCGACTGACAGGTCTGTATCGTCTCCTGATCTCGTTCACTTGACCTTGTCGTCCGCGATCCACCGTATTGTCCTCAACGCTGTGGATAGGAAAACTTGGTGGTCCTTAGCTTGCCGGCTTGTAGTGACAAACGGTTGTTGACAACGACAAATACTTCCACGCTGTATCCCTGAATGGCAAAAGAATATAGGCAAGTTCTGAAGTTAAGCTCTCGTGCAACATGCTCTTGGCTTGGTACTCTTCTTAACCCAACTTGCGCGATTTATCATGTGACCGGCACTTTCAAGGTCAATATGGACACAGAGTCAGTCTGCTCGACGGGGGTTTCAATTGCATTGTACTGTCTCGATTGACTAGATCGTAGTCGAAGGTAATCGGGATTCGCATTAGGCGGCAAATACTAGAATCAAATTCCATTAGAGGTCTGCTTCGCCTATAGAAGCCTGGGAGTTGTGCCGGTGCGTTGTCCAGGCCTATCAGACCAGTTGAAACGCGAGAGCCAGGCACTGATTGACACTCTTAGGCTGGTTGAAATCGCATCGAATTGAATAACTTGTAGAATAGAGGGAGAAAGCCGGGGAGGGGTGCAGCTGGAATGGATGGAAGACCTCGATGGTGCGAGGTCTAGGGGCCTATCATATTAGCTGGAACACGAGAGATAGGGACTAATTGATGTCCTTGAGGTGGGGTAAAAACGCAGTGCATGATTACCCAACAGAGGCAACAGAGGAGTGTAGCTGGAATGGACTAAAGACTTCGGCAGGGTAATATAGTCTTGAATTCATTGCTCAATCGCAGCCGTTTGACCGTAAAGATGCACTGTATTCCCCCTCATCTTCACTAGCATTCGCTTCCACATGGACGGAAGAAATATCTTCATCCTAGCCCCCCATAATAGCTTGTAGATGCGCAACAATCAGCCTCTCACTACCATTCTGTCTTGCCCTCTCGCTTTATGCACAGGTAAAGGCCCAGACTGAATGGAGAGTTTGTTCTCTATGTATGCTCGAAGCTTCGACCTTGTTCCGTTACGGCCTCTCACTGAGTGTCGGTAGTGATGTCTAGGATCGAGGTCTAGCACACCGATAACGACCGAAAACTTCCACAGACATTTCTGCGAGGTAAGATGGAACACTCAACCTCGGCAATCATTGCTGCCTTATTTCATGAGAAGACCGCGAGTTTGACAGTTGATACCCCACGACTTGGCGCTCATGCTTGACTTGCGATAAACCTCGACGCCGTGCGGGCGCAGGTTTGGCTAACGCGTTCTTGAATGCAACAAGGCCATAGTACCCTGTACGTGAAAGACGCGCCGTTTACGGCTCCGTGGAGGACAGCTGAATTTGTTAGTAACTTCACCACAATCCTCGGCAGTTTCCGAGTAAACTCGCTGAGTACACTGTTCCAGATATTTCTGATTTTGGTCGTCATGTTTCTGATTCAAATGAGTGAAGCTCTTTGCCATGCATTCAGCGCCCATTCCTTCATGGCCTAGGCAGAGGAACCATTCCTTTGGGGTGAGTTAAGAATGCAGTGAAGGCTCGCATTATGCAATGCACATCGACCCCAACCTACCTTAAACATTAGCGCCTGGCCTTGGGACGCACGGTGGGGTTCGCCTGACGTACATACATACCTACACGTGCAGTGGCTTGCCAATGCGTGATACTCTTGGGAAGGCTTCCATGTCAGTCAAAGTACGGTACAATTCTTGGTATATCCCATGGGAATCTTGCCATACGGTCGCGCGAGAATTCGAGGGTGATCTTTCGCAAAACTGTGTCCCAAATCACTTTCAAAAGGTAGGAGAAGCTTGACGTATGCATCCACGTACCACCCTATCTAAAGAATAGCTTAGTACAATAGGTATTCACCTCAGGTAGTTCCAGTCACTTCGTCTCGTCGCTTTATAGAATCGACTCGTGGAGCGGGAAAGACTTGATGCGTGTACACTTCTAGATGACGGTGTCCTATGGGAGGCCTGCTTCGCTGACGGGAAGCCTCAAGCTTCGCCAATAGGCTGTCAGGGCCACGCTTAAGTACTTCATGTACCAGAAAACGCATGAGCAAAGGCGTCCGTAAACACATCCTTAGTGTGGGCTAAAAATGCAGTGAATGGAAAAAAGGGTGTTCAGGAGCCCGACAGCACACCCTCATTTGTAACAACCCAACTTAAACCGGCATTACTGTATTACCACTTTCGTCGACCTCAGCCTCAGTCTCAGACATATCCTCCTTCGAATGGGGGGTTTCTCGCAGTGCTGAATTGAGGTCATGGCATCACCGGTTTGAGAACCAGATTCATTTGAATCAACAGCAGCAACGGAAATTTCACCATCAACGTCCTGAACCTGTCAGGAATCGAAGCTTCCCCAACATCGAGTAACTTGATCCATAGCAATGATAGCATATTGCGGATGAGCTTTGTGTATTGAAGCAATAGATCTCGACAGGAAGAGTCCGATTTCTCATGATTCTGTTGCCATTTCCTTCTTTCTCGCGAAGTGTCTTCAGCTTCGACATATTTAACTTTCTAGAAACTCACTCGCCGCCGTAGAAGTCATGAATACGTTGCCCATAGCAATCCAAGACTGGCGCTCCTCAAGCTGCTATTCCCCAATAGCCTTTCTACAAAGGTGAATGAGTGAGGAATACTCCATAGGTGTGCCACATGTGGATTGATCCTCTCCTCATCTTTGCTCTTCGTCGGATCAAGGCGATCCCCATAGCTTGACTGGACGATAAGCAGCTTGCCGCAAATTGAGTTGATTGTATGTGCGACAGTCACGTGGATGAATTGACTTTGTGTGCCTTCCACGTTTACGATTAGATCTCCGTGGCGCGAACTCTAAGTGAGGTATCTCAGCGCTCTCGCCGAGATATGTACTAATTGAGTAAGCGAGGGGACCCTGCGGCTCGCGATGGACCATGACCAACCTGGCTGGGGATAGGGTCAATAAACCCCGTATGCCCGAGGGAAAACGTGGTGAAATGACCGTGAATACGCTCTCCTTTTGGGGTTAGATCACCGCAGTATAAACTCTACATAAGTTCCAAATGCTTGAATAGAGCCTCAAAGCTTAGCCATAAGCGGCTTGGTAACCTGAGGAGTTAAACTTCTACTGTCAAGACTTAGCTTCAAAGCTAAACTAGTAATAACAGCGCCTCACTTAATATAACTGAGTTCATCCAGACCAATCTTTCCATTCAAACACCAAGTCTCGCCCACAATTGGAGAGTTTTCCCCGCGTTGTGTCCATGGGATAGTTGATCGCAGCGGCTGACTCCGACGCATCATCAATTATTCCCAGGCGCTGAAAACAATCCGGCTTCTCGCCGCGACTTACATCGCGGCGTTATATAAGTACGCCACTTGAGTGCAAAATACAAGTACACCTGTAACTCTTGTAACTCTTCATATATTGTTGCAGAAGAAAGTGTTCAGATTCGCATATGCTCGTGGATCGCGTCCATACGGAGAAGGCTTTCCTCCATGTTCTGCTCAGGGAGCATAGTCCTAATCTGGATAGGAGTAATAGGAGGCAACTCAAAAGGCGTGACGTTATTTTGTGGTTCGTGGGGTAGCCCTGAACAAGAAATTAGAAAATTCATTGCTTCATTCTACAAAACAGATGTTGAGCGCGTTCGTGGGTTCGAAAGTGCCGTTGAGAGTTTTTCTTAAAGCGCCGTCTAAACGCTGTCCATCCGCAGGTTCCGGTCACAATTCTGACCGCGCGCAACGCACCGGCCACCCCAGCCTTCCTACTGAAATCGACATCACGAGCAGGTCTGCTACATTATTCAGCTGCTCGTTCGAGAAGGATTCATTGTTCTTCCTGAAGTCTGGTTGATCACGGCTACTGTGATTATCCCCTTTTCATTCAACGTGCACGGCGATGGGGGGAGCGGGGGTGCCGCGGTGTTTAGGTTGGTGCTATGCCCGTTGTAGTTAATCCCTTTAGGCGCATAGCTGTGTAATATTAAAGAAAGGATAAAATTGCTGGAGGTATTATCATTGACACTTTTTTGTCTTGTGGTGTTGTAAGTCACCTTGCTCGACCCAACTCGTATTCCTGGGTCTAGTTGAACTTTGGCTTCTAATCCGGTAGGGCTAGCTCGACCACTATAACAGTATTTAAACTAAGCCGCATAGGAGGCCACCAGAAAGATTTATCAAATTGATGGAAGCTAATTACTCTGGGAAAACCGAAAAGTAGGGCTTTTGCGACATTATGCAGACAGAGATACCAAGAACTTTGATAAAGTATTGTTCGTGTTAGCAGCAAGTCGAGGCAGCCAACTACACCACGAAAATCAAAGTTTAGGTGATGATGTTCGGAGATCCGGAACCGGAAACAGTATCTTGTGTTCCGTACCAGCCAGCTACAAGCTTACAATGATTAAGTGTAGCTGGTGTAATACCGAGGTGACTTGAAGAACATATAAGAGCCCTCAATATTCCACGCTTCAGCTTCATGAGCATCTCATCACATCCACATCTTTCTCTCTCTTATCAACATATCTTTGCAACTCAAGATGAAGTACATTCTTTTAACCACTATCTTTGCCGCTGCTTGCGCAGCTGGACCTCTGGCTGAAGTCAGGGATCTAACTGGCACGCCGGAGAACACCCTGACCTACGTCGACATTGCTCCGGTTGAGTTGGAACCGCGGAACGCGGACTTGAACTTGACGGATCTTGTCACTAGGGATACTCTCCCTAACACCGCATGCCCGGCTGGACAGACATATGACCGCTCGGTCTGCTTCAAGTCCAACATCATCCGCAGCTTCTGCGTTGCCAATCCTCGCAGCAACCGCGAGAAGATTACGGACACCCCCTGCGGCGCCAACGAAATCTGTGTTCAGCGTCGTCTCCTCTCCAACGGCAAGAGCTACGCCAAGTGCATTCCCGTCCTCGACCTTGTCTTGTGGAAGACCAGCCCGGACGGAAACAAGGAAGGCTGCACCACCACCACGGTCAAGAGTGGAGGAAACCATCACATTGGAACAATCGTCTACGACGTGAACCGCAACCCAATTCAAGTCGACAAGATCCGTTATCTCGGAGAGCCTGGCGAAGTTGATGAGGGAATTGGCGGATCAACCCCATTCTTCAGCAGCAACCTTTTCAGCTTTGCTGGAGGCCATTACCTCAAGAGTAAGGATACAAGATAAAAGAGACTTAAGAATTAAGCTGACAAATACATAGCTTGCGTTTTCGCCGGTGGCTTCGGAAACCTGAACGCATACTCCTGGGCTTGGTCTTAATTTTGTTCCGAGACGTTTGTTACCGCCCGTCATGCAGGGATGAAAGTTGATCGACCCACTCTGGCGTCGAGCGACTACGACAAGACATTTGTACTGCAGGATCACGGGAACAACAGGGATTCAATTGGGAACGGAAGGAACCTGACAGGTCTTGTGGTAATGTGAAGTGAGCAGCGACAAGAAAGGAAAACGAGCGTTCAGTGGATACTAGAGTGAGCGCTCACCAGACCTCAGAATAAACGCTTTTGATGGGTTAGGAACCAACGCTCATTCAGAAAGGGACTGTTCAGTATGACTTGTACATAACATTACCTGAGCCTTGTTCAAGGTCAGACTTCCATAGCAATCTGGCAATAAACTGGTATTTATACCACTTCAAGCTTATGTTCAATGTGAATTGCCATGGTAAATCTCAGTGTAATCTCTTTAGTCTACTAAAAACTAATCTGCCAAGTAGACTGTGTTTCGCAACCACGTACGGCATCTTAAGGTAAACATGATGCCCTAATTCTTATTACATCAGACTCTAATGACCTATAGCTGGCTACAACGACGTTATGCCTAAGCGTTGGTATGGACATTGAGGAGGAGTTTGTGTTCTTGAGTGATCAGGAGTTAGGGGATCATCTTTTGTCTATGTGCTTGGAAATTTAAAATTCCTGGAAACTTCACACTTTAGATATCCGGTTTAAATCATGAAGACAAGTACGAAAACTGTGGCCGTATCTGCGTTTCATGAAACCGGTAGAGACAGCCCTGCGAAGAGACAGTCTTGCTATATCGATCTTACGTATGCCGCAGTTCCAAGTCTCAAATGATCAGGTCGACGTCGGCTCAGCGACATCACGAGCAGTGTACCTCATCTCACAGAGTTTCTTAGAGAATTAAATTGATCTTGTGATGAAATGCACCCCTCTTTTCTCATAAAAATACATTACAAACACCAAGGCGAACAGAAGTTAAGAAAGCTACAGGATAGGAACGAACGATAAACACGGCTGCACTGACGATCATTATTAGTGCGACGAGTCTGGAGTCTTAACTTGAACAGAAGTATCTCAAAGTGCCGTTCTCCTAATTCCAGCAAATCGAGGAATAAATCAAACTACTGAGAATATGGGAACAGACGAGGATCGAGACTTCTGCACAAATTTAGATGCATTATCATAACACCCTATCTAGAAGTTTACAAAGGCTTAGCATGTAAATTCGAGTCCTAATTGAGTTTGATGTTATAGAAATCCCTTTACTGTGAATCGCCCGTTAGAACCCGCTGAATAACATATTTCCGATAGCGGCAGTTTTGAGGAAGTGGCTAGTGCGTGCATGCTTAGGTGTAACTAGAAGGAAATTTCTTGTCCCAAGGCAACTAACCGTTACAGCGCACCAATCAACTTTGATCCAAACGACCTGAGAACTAAGACCCCACCCCACACGACGGATCACCCCCTACGACAGATCACCCAATTCGGCCACATTCAGCCAAAACCGCTATTTTATATATATATAACTAATTATAAAATAAATATTTTAAAAAATATAGTAGCTATAGAAAAATATAATTAATATGAAAAAAAGTTCAAAAAAATATTTTTATATTATATTATATAGTAATATTAGATTTAAAAAGTATTTTTATATATTAGTGTTTATTAGTAGTTTCTATACAAATACTAACACTATATTATACTCTATAACTCTTTTATTTATTAGAAAAAATAAAGTTTTAGAGATGATTATTTTTAAAAGATTTAAAATAAGCTTATATAAATAGCTTTTTATTAGTAATATAAGTATTATTATATATAAATATTGAGTTATATTATAGTAAGTGGTATTTATAAAAACTTAAATTTCCTTAGGTTCTATAATTAGTATAACGCTAAAAACTGCATTTTTAAGCTCAAAAAAATATTCTAAAAAATATTGAGATTTAAAATACTTAACTTTATTAATTTTTGATAAAGTTAAAAATCTCATTTTTATATAGTAAAAAAACGTTATATTTAACTTACTAATATCTTAGTTAATATAGAAAATTATAATTTATAAAAAATATTTTTATAAGAAAACTATATATTATATATCTAAAAGTATTTTTTATATAATTTTAATATTATAAAATGAAGTAAGTAGAATTAGTGGTTTTTGAGTGAATGTGGCCGAATTGGGTGATCTGTCGTAGGGGGTGATCCGTCGTGTGGGGTGGAGTCTTACATACAGACTTCAATACCTCAAGTAGATAGAGACTTACAGGTAATGGCGGTTGAAAAGGGGGGGTACTATCTTGGTGCCGGGGGATCGATCAAGCCCTGCGACGCGGCCCGGCTATTCTCTAGACGCCTTGGCTTCTTTATAGTACTTCTGGGGGAGAGAGATATGGCATTCCGTGTGTTAATGATAGCCCGATGGTTTCGCATCTGGTATATGATGGCAGAAACCGTCTCAATAAGACGATGACGTATTCTCCATGTATTTGAGGGACCTGAGCACGGCGAGGAAGAGCTTAGTTTACGGGATTAACATTGAATTTTAGAAACACTGGCTATCCATGTGTTGTTTATTTGTACATATAGGTATCATATCCCATACTCAACCTCAATCGCCACCTTATTCAGTGACTATGAGCACATCTAGCACCCGAGGCCGAGGCCCAGGTCCAAGATTCTCTTGGCGGCATAAGCAGCAGCCACCATGATGGGGGCCTGCGTGTTGCCAGTAGGAACTTCGGGGTGCATGCTAGCGTCCACGACAAAGAGGTTGTCAGTACCCCAGACCTTGGTGTTAGGGTCGACAACGCTCTTTCCATCGTTGACAGTGCCCATCTGAGTGGTGCCAAGGTAATGGCTGCCACCACCAATGGCAGCCACGAGAGCCTCCGCGGTTGCGTTCTCGGGAACGGTAAGGATGCTGTTGGGTTCGCGAGCCCACTGGAGAAGCTGGTCGACGAAGGTGGTAAGAGCCTCCTTGTCGCCTTCGGTGTGCATGAGGGGGTTCTTGGTCATGTTGGTCGCTCCGCTGGGGGTGATCTCGACGGTACCGGTGGAGGTGGTGCCGTGGGTCAGGTAGACCTTGACGCCAATGGTGTTGTTGCTATCAGCGCGAACAGTGCCCTGAACGTGACGGGTAGCGCCATCGGTAGTGTTGACGCTGGTCCAGAAGTTAAGACGCTGACCAGCCTGAGCCATGAGACCGCTGCCCTGAGCAAAGAGATCAACAGTCTCCTGGTCAGGGTCAGTCCACGCAGTCTTAGGGAGCGCGATAAGCTCCTCCTTGGTGGTGAAGGTGACGGTGGCGATGCCGTGGTCCTTGAGGTTTTCGCCGACGGGGAGGTCGATCCACTGCTCCTTGGGCGGCAGCTGGATGTTGGTGGTGCCGGAGGCGACGATTTCGATCTGCTTGGCGGGGCCGATGCCGGAGTTGAAGAGGACACGAGGGGTAGAGTGGGAGCCAGCGGCGAGGACGAGAGATCCACCCTTGCTAAGCTTAATGATCTCGCGGGCTCCACCGTCGTGCTCGACCTCAACACCGGTGATGAGGCTGCCGTCGCGGATGGCGCGGAGGACCATGGAGTGGAGTTCCAGGGTGAAGTTAGGAAGGGCTTCGGCGTCGGGTAGGATCGCGCGGACGGGGCTGTCGCGCAGACCGTGAGCGATCTGGAAGGGATCCGTCAGTTTTGTTTATAAGCAGGAATAGGCTGGAGATGGTGTAACTTACCGACCATGCAGGGTGCGAGTACATGAGCTCCTTAGACTCAGGATCGTTCAGAGCATCTTGCTCGCTCCAACCGTGGGCATCCAAGAACTTGGACATCACCTCAAAGGCGCCATCGTCGTAACGCTTGCCATCCTCAGACGCCAGGATAGATCCAGGGAGACGCTTGTAGAACTCCTCCGCGGCTTCCGAAACACCATTCTCCCAGTGCCACTCCTCGGGCCATGTCGCAAAGTCAGCCGAGCGAGGCTTGATGTACATGAGTGCGTTGAGCATGGTGGAGCCACCGAGCAGACATCCCGCGGCAATGGCAAGATCTCTGCAGTACTGCAGGTCCGGCGATGCACCAGTGAAGTCAGCCATACCGGGAACATCGTACATGGTGACGGTGTTGTTCCACGGCATGGTCTTGTTGTTGCCGGTCATGTAGAAGGAGGTGCCGCCGCGCTCGATGAGGAGGACGCTGCGACCCGAGTTGGCGAGGCGCTCGGCGGCCACGATACCCGCGGTGCCACCGCCTGCGACGATGTAGTCGTAGGTTGTGTTGCGGGTAGTCGTGGTGTTGCTCCGGAGGCTCAGGCGGGCTGCTGCCGTCTCGCTCAGCGCAAGAAGCGCCGAGCTCAAGGTGATGAACTTCATGGTGGGTAAAAGAGAGAGGGATGATGTTCAAAGAGACAAGGACAGGACACTCAATCAAGAGTCTGAGGACCGGAAGCCATACGACGTCGGGCAGCAGGACAGATCTATTAACTACTTGCATGATTCGAGCGATGAGATTGATAAGATGCGATTGATAATCCTCGTCTAAACTTGTCCAACTATCAAATTTCGGTACTGGAGGGATAGCACTCCGCAAAACTGGGTAGAGCTAACTAGATGTAGGAAAGATGGTTGCAATTTGGTGGGTCTTGCAATATAAGCATACTGGGCAGCGGAGGCGCAACACGAGAGGCTCCATTGCATTGAGCAACTGACAAAGCAGATCGTGTAAAATTTCTGTTTTTCTTTAGTAAAATACCTCATACCGCATGTTTTGGCGAACTCAAATTCCTCCCGCCAAGCCGGACTTGTCTCCCTCAAGCAGCAACAGCAGTGGTAAGCGAGCTTCTTGGAAAGCGAGCATGACGGCGGTGGCAGGGCAGCTCGAAGCGGACTATGTGGAGAAAAGTCTGGGCGAAACGGAGTCTACGCAGTAGTCTTGCGGTGTCGTTGGTTGAAGGGTCTCTTCTTCAGCAAGCGTGATGTCACGCACCATCTGAAGCGCACCACGGCCATGTCAAATCGCTTGGTCATGATCTTAACAGCCAATGAGAAATTGTGTTCAGATTTTTTGATTGAGGCTATGAGCGGCTGCGCCGGGCACTTTTGCTCCTTTATTGCTACGATCAGAAAACCTTGCTCATATAAGGTATAGAGGGATTATTCAAGGGACTTTGGGATAAAGGTTTATCCACTGGTGAGTTCGTCTCTGAGTCGCTCTTTACGGCCAGATACATTCGAAATTAAGCTTCTATGCTGCTACTATGTACGCGAAGTCCGAGAAGATCTCGCGGGTCGGCTAGCCCTTCCTTCAACCCTGAAAACTCCGAGGTCTCGTGTCTATTCGTACCGTCGAGCTGCGTTGGTTTGCTGTAGCTCTGGCAGCATATCCTTCTTACCAAGAACAATGGCCAGATCAAGAGCCGTCAATGGTGATTCTAATCTCACCAATCTGCCTATTCGGCCGTCGGGACCATCGGTTTTCCCAAGCTTCAGATAACCGTTGCAGCGGCCTTCTAAGTCGCATCCTAGCATCACAAGTCGAGTCACAATCTCAACATGATCATTGGCAACAGCTAGATGGATCGGTTGGAAAAAGGCATACTCGCCGCTCGACCATCGGTTCAAGTCCGCCGGTCCAGACCCGTCGCTCTTCAAGAGCTCGTAAGTGCAGCCGATAGACCCATAAAGACATGCAAAATGCAAGGGGGTCAAACCGAGTGCATGGGTGACGTTGTCCGCTTTCGCCCCCAACTTGAGAAGCGCGTTGGCGGCTGATGGTTGATCGGCCATGACGGCGGCATGTAACGGGCTGCGGCCGTAGTCATCTCCAACGTCTATCGAGGCACCCAAGTCGGCCAGGCCACGGATGACTTCTTTGCTGCCACCGCAGGCTGCGTGGAAGAGAACTGATCGTCCGGCATTGTCTCTGGCGTCGATGTGTTTAGTTGTGCCCATCATCTTGGTCAGTGCGTCTACCGCCTGCATGTTGCCGGTGGCTGCCGCCCGATGCAGCGGAAGCTCGCCTAGATCGTTGATGTGTGGGAACGAGTGCGAGCCGAGGAAATCCTCTTTGATCAAATCAATAATCTTCCGTATCCTGTGATTTGCCAATCCGGCAGGCGCATATGCAGAGAAGAGATGGAGAATGGTCTCGAGTCTTTTTGTCGTGAATTTGTGCAGAATGTCGGGGTCGGTTCCAGAGTAAAACGCGATCTCGGCTTCAGCTTGCAAGACCTCGGTTGTAATACCCTGCAGAATGTCGGGTCTTTTCTTTAAATTTGACTCTCTCTCTTCTTCCAGAAGATATGCAGCGAGGTTGAAGTGTCCATTGAGTACAGCAAGATGAACAGCCATAAAGCCGCTTCTGGTTTGACTCATGGTATTCGCACCTAGCTTCAACAACGTCTTGAGCATGGATAGCGAACCAAGAGTTGCGGCCCAGTGAATGGCTCTGAAGTCGTCAAACTCTTCTGTCCGCAGCTCAAGAAGACCTCTTCGTTGCCTTGCAAGAGACTGGACATCCCTATCACTTCGCGCTCGAACGGCCCGAATCAAATCGGCGTATGGCTTACTTTGCTCAATCTTGACGGCGTGAAGTTCATTTCCAAATCGAATGGCAATGTTGACTGCCGTCTTTGTCCTCACTCCCTCGGGTATGGGGAGTGTCGGTGCTAGCATAAGGGTGAACCTGTCTTGATAGCAACAGCAACGCGTAACTGCGCCGACCTCGTCAAACAGTACGACAGGCTCTTGCGGCTCTGGAGTTCGCCTAGGCGTACTTGACAGAACATCCTCGTCACTTGGTGCAAAGAGAAGTTCAGAAGTACCGGAAACTTCCAGCTGAATAAATCGACGGCCTCTTCTTTGAGACTCTTTGGCGTCGATGGTGATGAAACCCAAGCCTTTTGAGTTTTGGTACGATGCAGGGCCATCTGAAGTAGTAGCAATTTCGGAAAACTCCAGGTAGACGGACTCGAGACTGTTGCCAGTGTAAGGATGCTTCTCGTAGCACACTTCCCACCGTCTCCTGACCCGACGGAGCCCAATGGCAACATCTACGACTGATCGCTGGCTTTGATCAAGTGACATGAAGCGCAAAACGACCATCGCGCGGTTCGAGTGCGGCTCTTTAGTCCGTATCACGGATAGTGTGGTGTCCCATCTTTCCGGCGGATATGCTTCGTGAATGGTGAAGGCAAGATGTGAAACAGCATCCTTTGAGTTGGGCCGAAGCTTTGTTTTCACACTGAGTTCAGGGAGTGCGTAGAATGGGTTTTCCTTTACGTAGATGTTCTCGTACGTCCCCTCAGCGTCATCGAAATGATCCAAAGGAAACAAGATGACAGAGCCCTCTTCAGAGGCAACTCTTGCGAACTGGTCACTCCAAAGTCGTTGTAGAATGATGCAAGGGCTCATCTCCTCGCTGGCAGAGTCGGCCTTGGAGACTATGCAATCCAAAAGAGCGTAGTACTCATCTCCATCCGGCTGTCGGGGGATGAGGAGGATATTCGTTCGGAGCCCTTGATTAGTGACACTGGTTGGCGCACTATCCTGGGATTCTGAAGGAGGTAGAGGTCGCACATGGTCAAAGCCGACCATTGAGAATGAGCTTGGTGAACTTGCAAGCAGGCCGAAGAGGTCATCCGAGGGTTGAACGTCCTCTGGCAGCCCCCAGAGAAACAAGGACTGGTCATCGCTCTCTTTGAGGATCTCTTCTTGCAGACGCGTGAAAGCGCGGTCACCTTCACCGTAGAGCAAGGGCATGTTTACCTTGAACAATCCTATCAGGCAGTATGCTTTGTCTTCCGGTCGCGTCGTCTGTCGATGCCCTGCCCATCGCATCTTATTCGCGACACTGATGTCGCTGAGATATGATGTACCAGAGAGCACCTGCTCGTCAATGCCAGTAATCCTGGCAAGCAGCTGGCAAAAGACATTTCTCGACTGCTTTTTGTTGATATAAGACCAGTCCCCGGCGTAGAACTCAACAGTCTTTGGCGCAATGAGCTCCTGCAACGTCCATCCTCGGGTAAACCACCGACTATTCTGGAAACTCGAATCCTTGGCAAACGGGCTCTGCGCGTAAACTGGCTCCACGTCGGAGAGGAACGCGTAACAGATGGCTGCCTTTTCGTACCAACGGTACATGGAGTTGATGGACTCCGACAACTCGGCGCTGCTAGTCTTGTCGATGCAGCAGGTGTCGGCCCAGAGGTAGCGGTGGCGATGGCTCTTGGCCAGGTTGGCTGCATCTCGTATCTTGCGGAAGCCGTTGGTGGAGCGGATCTGGTCGGCCGCATCCGCGGAGCCCGACCCCGGACCGGGTGCCGTGTCCGAGGCCAAGCCGAGCGCTTGGAAGCTTTGGAACGTGACTTCGTCGCTGCCCCAGGTGTGAGACAGGATCGCATACTCCTCCTGGGGGTCGCCCTGCACTTCGACGAGTTTGAGGCTATCGGTGTCAATAAGCCACATCTCGAATCGGCTGCCTGGCGGAGGCGAGCGTCGAAAAGGTGTAGGTAGGATGCTAAGGTTGAGGCGCCGATCGTCAGCTGAACTCAAGTCAAACGAGAAGAAGATGATTTTATTTTGGTAGAGAGACATGATTGGCCCGGCTCCCTGCAGCTAAGCTAGATCTTCAGTCCTTGAGAACACCTTAGGTGCGTCATTTACCAACAGCCGCGAAGTATTTGGAGGATACATTAAATGCCTAGATCTCATTGCAAAAGACTATCGGAGTCACTGTTCAACACAACTGTGCTATTTGAAATGCGACTAAGAGTCAATGACAATTTGTCGACTAGAACTCTAGCAGTGCTACAGAAGCCTAAGTCGAATGGCGAGTGTCCACAAGAGCCCTGTCTTAAAATGGGGGAGACTCTTCAACGCCCCAAAGATCAGTATTAAGCTTAAGAGCTGGTCCTTAAGACTAGGTAAAACGCGCTAAGAAGCGAATGCTATTACAAGACGTGGGATACCGAAGCGACGTCGTGGGCCTTAACATTCAGATTTATGATGTGAAATTCAGTTTCGCTGCCCATGGAAGAGTGTCGGATCCGGAGATCTTATCCCCTGACGAGCGGCTGAGCAGCCAATCGCAATTTTCCTCTTGCTGCATATCACCCCGCCGCGCAGTTTGATCTTCAAGGAGGTTCAAATACTCCCCTCGACGAATTGCAATGGCGATGGTTTCTAACCGTGGGATTTTGGAGTTCTTTCTCCCTGTCATCCCCACCCAGAACACCAGTGACCCTAGCCAAGGAGAACAGGGGTTCATCCGAGGAGCTCGCAGCGTCGCTTCATTCCCATGTTTTGAAACTTCATTCGATCTTCGAAACCGGTCATGCCCAGGTAACACAGGTGCTCAGCCATCTTTTCAGGCCTTCCAAGGCGGTCATCGCATCATCCCAGGCCACACGATGGCAGATGCAGCGCTTCTGTCAGCCCAACTATAAGATGGCACCTGTCGTGTCGCTGTCAGTTCATGTCACATAGTTTCAACTCATCAACAGCGAAACTGCCATCCGATACAACAACTTTTCTTCTTTAGACCTGGTGTCATCTTTATTTGAGCTTATCTCAAGTCTTTGCGCCCATTTTCCTTTCACAGTTCTTCTCAAGATACCCATTTGATTCACCCCAATCCACACAAAATGTACGCCCAACAAGTTCTCGTCACTTTCCTGATGGCCACCAGCGCCACTCTCGCTAGCGCAAGTAAGTATAATCTTCTCGACAACCACAGTCATCCCATCTTTGTCTAATTAGACGACCGCCTTTAGGAAGCATCGAAAGACGCCAATTGCTTGGAAACCTCGGCAGCCTCTCGTGCAACGTCGCAAGACTCCAGATCTTAGGCGCCCTTGGCAATACCGAGGACGCTGTCTCCCAAATCACCGATACAACAGTCCAGGACGCTGCCAATGCTGGTCTCCAACAAGCACGAGGCGGCATCGCACAAATTGCAAAGTCCATCGTCAGCGGCGCTGCACCGCCCGCGGCTAGCCGTGATGAGGTAGCAGCCGGACTGGCTGCAGCGGGTACCGCTCTTTCTGGGGGCGATGCGTGCGTATCCTTGTCTCATCATGTGCAAATCGAGGATTGCAATGGCTAACAACCTGTATAGGAGCGACCAAGCCGTAGCTGATGCGCAAGCGGGACTTGATAAGTCTGTAAAGGCTGGTCAAGATGTCGTTGCGAACTGCTAAACAGTAGATGTTGGATTGATGGAGCTGAGCTCGGCAAATGACGAAAATGAGGCATAAGACAGCAGCAGGACTAGCGCATGCATTAATACCACCATGATCAACTATTCAAAACTATCTCTCTTCACTCCAAGCATATTCTCTCTTATCGGTGAAACCTGCAACTCTATGCGACGTCTGCCCGAGCCACTTTCGCAAGATGGAACTATCTCGTCGTTCCAATCAGTTCCCTCGCCTGTTGCAGGTCCTGTGCCATGGTACCCAAGTGAACCACGTCGGCCGAGACCATGATTAGACTCATCCGCTCCGCCGCCTTCTTCAGGACCTCTGGACTTCCGTAAGGAGGCCCGCTAAACGCAAAGCCCGCATAAGGCTTATCGTGCTTGTCAATGGTATCAAAGAATAGCTTCGACGCCTTGACCCATTCAGGTTCAGAAGCTCCAATCCCTCCCGTCTTGGCCTCGAGGTTCATGCTGACTCGGGCATCAAGAGTGCCAAACCAGACGATGTCGATATCTGAACCGCAAGCCGTCAGAATCTCATCGAGATTCTTGGCAGCTTGGGCTGACTCGATCTGAATCATAATGGCGGCCTGATCATTGAGACACTTGTGCAGGTCGCGGTGGTCATAAGGAGTATCGGTAAGACCGGGCACAAGACGGAAGGGCGGTAGGGATCGAGTGCCGTTCTGCGCAGTGCCGAACTTGGCGGCGGCAATGGCATGTTCTGCTTGTTCAACTGTCTCGACTTGAGGGATGACGATGCTGGCGCCGGCATCGAGAGCATTGCCAATGGTAGCGTGATCGTGGCCGGGGAGGCTGCGCAGTTGTATCAGCATGAAAGTCTGAGAAGACGTACGACAGACATACCGAACGAATGGAATAGTGCGGCCTTGGCTCATGAAAGAAGCCTCGTGAACCATCTACGCGGCGTCAAAAAACTCTTCGAGATTAATGCAGTGATTCTTTGAGTACCGTCGTCATGGTTTCCGTGTTGCATGGGGTATGCTCCCAATCAATCCATACGGCATCGAAGCCCATAGGGGCCAAGTACCGGGTAATGGGGATGGAGCTCAACCCTGCGTAGTAACAAAGCAGTGGCGGAATCTTCTTTGCGTGGGCGTCCCGGATGGCTTGACGGGCTTTGTGAGGCTGGAAAAGCGAAGGAGCAGCATAGGCAGCCATGCCTTGTGAAGGGGTACTCTTATATTCGTCTCTGAAGGTTACCATGGTGGAAATTCGAAGTTTTTACCGTTTCTCGGAATGATGTTTGGTGAAAGTTCTGGATGATTTCAGTTCGATAGGTCTCAAATACTCGTCTTGATTGTGTCATCTTATAACCTGTTCTACTAAACATCATCCATCAACATCCCACGCCCTTCGAATCTCCAACATCAGTGCGCGCGAACAAGTTTACGTGAGACCATCAAAGCAGGTTCCGGATTTCCTGGTTGAGTTACCGACCGATAATTTTCCTAGTCTGAGCAATCAGTGAAAGATGATATCGGTCTTCGAGATGTCCGTTGAGACGCCGGGCAGGAAGAATATCGTACAACGCCTCACCATCGCTACTTTGAATTCTTTAGGTGAGCCGAGGCGCCGAGGTAAGCTATCAGAAATAAGGATCTTGAGGGATCTGCATATGCAGCTGTTGAGGCTCACATATCTATTTCCATACGGCTGTCTCGTCGAACTTCCAGAGTCCTAGCTCCTGGGAAAGGTGGTTGGACCAAGCTAGTGCGACTTCCGAGACACTGTGGTGGCTTACGGCTAGACTAAAATCTGACAGGCGTCGGGAAGTTTTATGTCATAAAGCCGCTGCCGAAGGAGTCGGAGAGACTTTCGTGGATCCCTTTGTTGTCATCTCACAAGAGCACTCACTCCAAAAACCTCAAGTTCATGCTATCAAATCCATTTCTCTCATGCAAGACTTTCAAAAATCGATAAGGCGGTCCTAATTACATCATTTTCATTCATTACCAACCTCAAACGAGAATTTTCGCTTAGTCCAACATTGGCGCCATACCCCCATGTCTCCCGAAGCACTGCCAAGCGAGCAATCCAGCGATCATGTTTCGCGGTCGCCTTCTCCCAACCAGGCACTTCAGGTAAGTCGTAAACAGCCATTTTGCGGATATAGTTGTGTCACACGTGCCGTCTAGCTAACATAATGCCCAACTTAGACCCGCCGAGAGCGCAACCGCGAGGCCCAAAAAGTCTTTCGCAAACGCAAGCAAGCTGCGGAGGAGATCCAGGCAACCCGTCTGCAGCATCTAGAAACTACCGTCGCCAAGATGAGCACCGCGGTCGTTGAGCTTGTCGACTGGATGCTGGACATTGAGGCGCTGAAGCAGGAAGTAGGGGTCTTGACGCGTATCCAGGAGATGGTGGCGCACGTGTTGGCTTTGGCTGACGATGCTGTGGCGTTGGAGGATGAGCTTCCGAAGAGGAGGAAGAGGAAGCTTAGAGAAGCGAAGCGAACTTCGATACAAAGTCTCGACCCCAAAGATCATGCTGGTACGGGCATAGAAGAGGAGAATCCTTGTGCTATAGATAACACATCTCACGTGGCGTCTTCTCCGCAGGCAAACCCTCCGGCACCAGATCCTCCGACCCTGACACCAGACGACCAAATCCTATCCCATCTAACATCCTTAGCCTGCCGCCCAACCTCAGCCTCACTACCCCCATCCCTAGGAACCTTCCACTGCGGCTCAACAACCACTCTCTGCCCAGACTCCTTCAGCTTCCGCCTCACACACACCTGCTTCACGCTAGGCTACCTCGTCCTCAGCAAATCCCTCGACTCGCCTCTCCCTCACGGAGAGGAACCGCGCATCTTCAGTTCAACACTAAGATACCGTAACAGGGACGATATAATCACGAAAATGAGGTGGCTGGTCGGACCAGGCCAACATGAACTTCAGCAAGCCGCAGAATTACCCATGGGAGGGCGCTGGTACGGCGACGAATTCAGCTCCGAGGACCTGTCGCCGGAGAACCTCGACCTCTTTGAGAAGACGGCGCTAGCGGATGCTCGGCAGACGCGGTTCCTAAGCGTTGCTGGTCTTGAGAGGCAGCTTATTGCGCTTGGTGCTCGGGTGGTGGATAAGGAGACGCTGGAGCTGAGGATGAGTGGGCCTTTGAAGTTGACTTCGGACGCGGGAAAGAAACGGTCTTTGGCGTCGGAGAGTTGGAGTTTTGTGGATTATTTCCCGCAGACGTTGCAGACAAGGTCGAAGAATACGTTTACGGTGCAGTTGAATATCACGCTGCTGATTGCTAATTTGTCGAGGTGTGCGGTGTGTCTCATGAAAGGGCCAGGGTTCCCGAGGGATAAACTGAACAGGGCGATAGAAGATTCTGTGGTCATGGTTAATAGTGGTTGAAGTGAATTATTTCGCAGACGTTTGGCTCTCTCAGGTCATCGGCGTGATTGACATGGAGATCCTGCATTGGGGGCGCCTTGGGAGACAGAGTTGGGATTGTCACTTGCAAGCGACTTTTGCCCATGGATTGCCTGTCGGATGAGAGACGTCACTTATACTATGGAAGTAGGCGTTTCGTAATCGTCAAAGTCACATTTCTGGCTACCTGAGTACACATCCTGAACCCCATATCCTGGATAGCACGACCCGCTGCGTTTGATCAGCTTTTCGGGAATGGTCGCTCCAAAACCAGGCCACCTTGATAAACCTCGTATGCCATGTGTCACTTGAAGATATCTGGGGAGCAGTGTGCACAAAATCTCAAAGCTTTGTGCTCGCTAGCCCATTCACTCCGTCTCATCCATTGGTTCTCCATCAGTGCCAGCTGCCTGCTCCTCAGGATTGTCCACGTCCTCCTCATCCTCCAGATTGTCTTGAACGCCAGCGCTATCGTTGTTCACCATCTCTGCGATCCTAGCCTCCTCTGTAGCAGCCTGCTGCGCCGCGGCAGCAGCCTTGGCTTCAGCGTGAATCCTCTTCTTCTTGTTGAACTTCTCGATGTCTGCAAGGGTCTTGCCCGCAGCTGCTCGGGCAGCGGCGCCAGTTCGATTGGCATACGGGAGCTCGAATGCAGCATTGGAGACTGCCTTGATGCCTATTTGAAGAGACTTGGCCTCGGCTAGGATTCCGTCGCGGATATCCCTGTCGCCCTTGCTTGTGGTCTCAAGTTCGTTCACTGAGTCGATGAACGTCTTGACCATGTGCTGTAGAGTCATATGGCGAGCTGTGAGGAGGTTGAAGGCGGCCTTGGAGATGTAGCAATTATCATCATCCGCGAGTGTCTCTTTTCCAGGCACATTGCTGGAGGGTCCGAGTCTCTGGGTAGGCTGTGTGCCGAGGTCGGGACTGGCTCTGTCTTCGATGAGCTGTTCGAGGACTTCGTAGGTCTGGCCGACGAATGGGCTTCTTTTGTACGACCTGCTAGCTATGGGCATGTCATCCGAGTCGGTGCTACCAGCATCGACCGTGGCACCAGTCTCGATATCGTCATCGGTCTCGATAGTCGCAACCGGCTCTCCGTCTTCTGTGTCCTGGATGGGAGACTTCGAGGGCTCCTCAACTTCGGGCTCAACAGCGTGACGCTCAGATTGAATTGTCGAGGTCTTCATGAACGGGTGATTTGGCTTGTGAGGTCGAGGGAAGGAGGCGAGCGGCGATGGAGTCATCAGCTTCGGGCTGTCCTGCTTTCGGTTTTTGCGCCAGCCCGATGGGTGAATATTGAGTTTCGTTTTCTTAGAAGGCTTCGGGGACTCTGGGGTCTGATTCCTTTTCATTGACCTCTTTCTCTTTTTTCTCTCGACGGAAGGAGAGTTCTCGGCCGCATATCTCGCGCTCAACATGTGAGACGACGGAATGACCGCGGCTTCGTCCTCGGGCGAGGAAAGAATCGGAATGACTGATTCTTTCGCCATCTCGGGCCAAACGTTGATACTTCACTGCGATGAGAAGGTCAACTTATTTGTGTTGGAGTAAAGCTCTGCGGGAGAGTGAGTCTCGCGGTGCGATGAGGTTGCCTGGGTGTTGTGGAATTTGTGATCCCAAAGGAATAGTGAAAAAGCAAGGCTGTCGAAGAGACTTGGTGTCAGAAAGAGAAAAGTTTGACAGTGATCGCTGAGGAATCATGGAATATTGGTGCCTATCTTGTCAAGTGATCTGAGAAGAAGCGCGGAAAGCCGAAGTTGTGTGAAGTGACGAAGGGGCAAGAAGGAGCAGCTAATGACAAATTGAGGAGGGAAAGGGTGAAAAGCCTTTGGTAAGAAAAGCGCGGCAAGAGACACTTTGAAAAGATGACAAGACTAGTCAAAATAGAGCAATGGTCTATGGGTTTTGATGAGGATTTAGTGCGACGGTGAGAGGGTTGAGTGAAGTGAAAGGTGAAGGACGGCGAAGGTGAGTTGACAGTGGGTCATGTGACATACAAATATGAGATATCTGAGGCATCTGGGGGAGAATCAGGTCTCTCTATCGCTCCTTCCGGTGGAAGACGAAGAAGCCCACTATAGAAGGTACGTTTGTTCTGCTTTTGATTTTCCGAGCCCGTCTGCGACTGCCTAAAATCAAAAGTTTGGATCGCGAGGCCTCACGAACATGACATTGTAACATCTCCACTCCGGCGGTGAGACAGACGTGTGACTGTGAGCGGTCACTCGATGGGACCCAGATGTAAGCCACGACTGACAGGTTTCAAACCTGAACAGTGAAGGCTCATCGTGGCAAGTAAGCAATGAAGGAAAAGTTTGTGTCTCATGGGAAAAGCTCGATGATACCACCCAACGAGTCGGAGAATTGAAGACTAATGTACGAGAAAGCTGCCGGTTACTAGATGCTGGCAATCCATACTGTTTCGCCTGTTTACTCGCCTGCTCGCTCTTATCCGAGATACTCCATGATCATTCCTCCTCTGTACTAAAAAGCCGGATCTTTGCCCTTCTCAAGCGCCACCGCCGTATCATGCATCTCCTCCAAGGCCATGTCAATGATGCGGGCCTGAATCGATTCCGCCTCCAGCGAGTCCTCCGTATCCTTCATCCAGCTTGCGGAAAGTTGCTGTGCAGCCTTGATTCGCGCCATATGAAGCCTGTAGGCTGACTTGGAGATCGTCATCTGGTCGTCTTCTTCGGCCTGCTTCTTCTTCTCGCGCTGGTTCTGCAGCTGGGCTTGCTCCTTGAGACGGCGGAGAGCGAGGGCTCGGGCGACAGTCTTGACGGCGTCGGTGCGCTTCTCGGGAGCAATGTTCTCGATGATGTAGGTCGCGACTTCCTTGGCGGTGTCTTCAGGTCGCTTATGGTGCTCTGCTTCGTGCTCCTCTTGTGGCGTGGGGAAGTAGAAGTGACGGCAGGAGATCGTTCGGCGCGGAATTTGAAATTGTTGGGTGTCGATATCCATGGGCATAGTCGAAGATGCGCCCATCTCCGAGGGGGCTCTGGAAGCTGCCATTGTACGCTCGCTCTCACTGCCAGAGAAGGACATTTGCGAGTGAGGGTCGGGCCAAGGGAATGGGCCTTTGTCGTTCATTGTTCTTACTTTGTTGACCCGGTATATTGGTGTAGCTTTGACTATCGAAAATTCTTTGATTGAGAGAGATTGTTTCTGCGGTTCTTTCTTAGCTAAACCTTTTGTGAAAAGAGAGGGGTCTTGTCCTTGATATCTGCCTTTGCCGGGCGGTGCTGTCTAATAGGCACCGCCTTCGAGTAACTTGGTGGATAGGTCGAGGAAGAAGCCTATGGTATATGAACCCGTCCGCTCAGTCAAATCACGGTGTATAGACGACTCTGTCCCATAATAGGAAGGCCATCAATCAAAGCGAGATCAAGAAGCATCGAGTAGTTCTCATTCAGTGCTCACTGGGGCCTTTCCATTGATACATCATGTCTCGTCTTGGTTCTCTTCAGAATTGTATGCATGGAATCACTCCAAGTCCCTCTCGTCTCCGGTATCCCCGCTCATAGTCTCATCAACCTCCTCAATCGCCTCTGCGTCTTCATCCTCTTCGCCACCATCACCCTGTTCGGCATTGTCCTGAGCTGCAAGAGCCGCCTCTGCAGCCAACTTCCTCTCCTTGCGGACATCCCCTGGTGTGGGAATGCCGTGCTTACTCTTCTTGTGCTGTTACGTTCATGTCAGCTTCTCCTCTAAGGTAGATTGTGGTTGTGGCTTAGCTGAACTTACTCTGTAGAGAGTGCACGCAGAGGTGTACCTCTTCGCCTGATTGCAAACATCACACCCGTACATATCTTTGCCGCGCTTTCGGCCCCGGGGCTTCCCAGTCACGGCAGCTTTGCCTGTCTGGACGATTGCGCGAGCAAGGACAGCAGCTTGACTGGAGATAATTCCTCCTGTACCGATGATAAACTCATGTCAGTCTGAGGCTGGGCCGTGGCAACGTTGTTGCTGTTGTTAGAGCTGCACGGGGCGTCAGAGCGAATGCCGGTAAGGTCGAAGTTGTTGGGATCGAGTCCCATTCTGCGAAGACGCTCCTCAATTGAGACATCTTCATCTCCGTCGTCGGCAATGAAATGGTAAGGCTCAGGAAAGGGGGAGAGGCCCTGCTCGAGGCTACCAGAGATGCGACCCCAAGCGGTCGTTGTACGTATAATCAGCGCATTGAGGCCGAGGTTTCTGGTGTCTTGTTCCATGAGAATTGCCAGGGTCAGCTGTCGCTCGAAGGTTCTCGTTGCTCTGGGAAGCTCATAGTCCCCACGCTGAAATCGCTGCTGAATAAGTCGCAGTGCGGCCACGGTAGTATCACGAATACTGTTACGGGTTGCGCCGGTAGCGAGTTGCTGCATGTGAATTGCACGTGCGAGGTTTGTCTCCAGCTGAAATGACATTGTTCTGGAATGATCTGTTAGCTTAGATGGAAGATACAATTAGATTGAATGAAATGGGGATAGGGAAACATACGCGTTTGATTTGTTTTGTTACGTAAACAAAAACGGCGGCCAGTAGGTAGATGGGTGGACGTGGAAAACCTACCCGGGTTAGGGGGGGGTTTGAAAAGAGGTGGCCTATAGTATATGCGTACCCCACAGTACTAATTCAGAACACTATATCGGCAGAATAGTCTAACTATATATAATACATTATATAATACTATCTAGTATACGATTAAAGGGGTAATAATATACCTCTAGCTATAGCGCCTATATAAGTCGAGCATAGTGCTTTAAACAGGGTAATAATACGTATATTTTAATTAGTTTAATTACTTTAGTAAGATCTACGTAATAACTATAATAATTAATTAATATTCTAAGCTAGTAAAGTAAAAGGATATTAGTAGTAGGTAAAAAAGGCCTGTCCGTATAATAGCTATTAATATAGGTAATAATTATTAGACTACTTAGGAAATATACTTCGAAATATAGACCTCTCTATTATAGCATTTAATACTTCTTATATTTATAATTAATATAAGTAGTTAAAAAATAAATATTTAAAATAAATATATATATAAAAATTATTTATAATATAAGGTAATTAATATTATGTAGGCCTTTATTCCTCTATTACCCCGATTTTAAGGTATATATAATAATAACTAGGGGAAATTTTTTGCGGGTTACTAGGAAATCCTTATATAACGATAGATACGCTATACGTAAGGTAAAGTATAAGACTTAACTAAGATACTAAATTATAGATATAATTTTTTAATTATAAACCTCTATTATTAAATATTATCGTTATTCTTTCTATTTTACCTAAACTAACGAGGGGCTACGGCTCCCTTTTACCTAAGCTCGCGAGGCTATAGTTCCCTTTTAAACTACTATCGCTACTACTAAGTACCCTCTTTAATATTAGGATTAAATATATTAAGCTACTAAGTAATTTATTAATTAGTAAGATACGTAAAGTATACCTAGGTAAAAATTATATATTTATATTCTATACGAACTTAGCTATCGTAACTAGGAAGACCTCTTATATATAGGTAAAGTTAATAAGAATACTTTAGATAGTTAGAGCTTACTTATTACTAATAGTAATACTTTGCTAATACTAAGTAATAGCCTTATTATATAGCTATATTTAAAAAGCTCGCTACTTAGTCTTATACTTATCCTTCTAACTTATACTATATAGTAGGCTATAAGGGGGTAGTAGAGAGTTAGGGTAGTATAAAAAGAGAACCTTAACTTTATAGCGTAGTAAAATAGCGCAAATAGGAGCATTATTAGCTATATTAAATAAGTAATTAGAGCTATAAAAAAAAGGAAGAATAAGTAAAGTAATTAAAACTTACTTCGTAACTTCGAATATTATTTTTAAGATAGATATCTTAATATTACTAATAGTGCTAATATTAATACCGTTTATATTAATAGTCTAACGGTTAAAAGCCTCTAGATATTTACTAAATCCCTTATTCTAGTACTATTCGGCTTTACTTATATTCTCGTCCTATATCTATCTATACTCTAAGAGTATACTACCGTTACCCTCTAATATAGTAAAAATGCGTTAAGTAGCGATATAGTATATTTCAAAAGCTCTTAAATTAATACTTTTAATACTAATACCCTTAAGCACTATATATTAAACTAAAATCTCGCTCTTAGTAATAGATTTAAGAAATAGCGGGGCTTAGAGCGTATTTACTATCTATTAATAAATACTATTAATAAGTATAATAAAAAGTTAATACTAAGTAATATTTAGCGTACCTTAGTTTGTTAGAAAAACGGATATTTAAGAATTTATAAGTAATAAAAATATTATTAATATATTAAAGTGTTACTTATAAGGTGTATATATTTATTAATAATAGATATATAGCTATATATAATAAGTGAGGTAAGTATATAGGTAAGGATTATAACTTTACCTAACGCGTTTAGTAAAATTTAGTATATAATTACGACGCCCTTAACTTAGTATATTAACCGTATTACTATGGTATTAAAAATAAATAATTAAAAATCGTTAGTAAATTTATTTTATATATATTTATATAACCTCTATAATAAGCTAAGGTAAGTATTAATTACTTTTCGTTCGTTAGTACGTCTCTCTTAAAGTATAGTTTACTTAGACTAGAAATAACTTACTCTTAGGTAACCTAACTTAAAATATAAATTCGTACTCTCGAATTAAATACTTAAAAAGAAATTAGACCCTAGATATCCTATCCTTATTAGATACTATCGTAGGCCTTAGTATCTAATATAGTACCCCTAGTTTTACCTTTTTTCTCACTAGATCCTTTCTTATTAAGATTATTAAAAATATTATTAAGCTCTAGTATTTTCTCTTAAACTATATTATATTTTTTAATAAGAGTATTTAGTACCTTAATAGGTCCGAGAAAAGCCTTAATTATAATCTTTAATTTAATTTCTAATATATATTAGTATTCTAACTAATTATTTTTTTATTATAATACTAATTATTACTTATTACTATTATTATAATCTAAAAAAATTACGGCCTTGCTCTTTAACTTATTAAAACCTATATACTAAATTACCTTTTTAAGAGCTATAAATCTCTTATTCTTTTCTTTTATATTCTTAATAATTAGTTTACTAACCTTAGAGTTCGGTATATAGCTAGTACTTTATTTATTAATATTAAGTAATCTTAAGTATAATTAAATAAATACGTTCTTTTTATTAATAATACCTCTCTTTTTAAAAATAAAAAACCTAAAGCCGCGTATAATTTAGTACTACTTTTTTACTATAAGGGCCCGGGTATTACCTCTATTTTTAATCTACTTATTTATACGTACTCTAAGTTACTTAGGGAATTTATTTTCGTTTTTATATATTATAAAGGAGCTAATAAAAAGTAATTTACTATACTACTTTATATCTAAGCTATTTTTACTTATACCCTTAAGTATCTTAAAAAAGGCATAGTAACTTAGTATTTTAAAAAATAAAGTTGCTATTTAAATCTCGGGGATAAATAGTATAAATATAAAAGACGTAATAAAAGAGGACTTATTAACTATATTATTAAACTTAAAATATCTTTATATAGTAAAAGTTTCCTAAAGTAAGCGTAGTTACTAAAGTTAGAGTAAGAGGGCCGTAAAAATAAAAAATAGAGAGTAATACTGGGCTAGTACGGTAAGTACTATAAATATTTAAATTAAAAAATTAGTAAAGTATATAAAATAAAAAGTAAGGATTATTACTTAAATTTCGATTTTAAAATCGTAAGATATGTTTAATATATAAATATAAAAAGAAGATTTAATATTTAAAGTTAATAATAAAGAGATATAGATATAGTATGTGTAAATAGAAAAGAAGCTAAAGTTAAAGATAATAAAAGGGTAGAAATCGTAAATACTTATTATAAAAAAAGAGTATATAGCTAAGGTTAAGAAAGAAGGTATATTCTAAAGTTACGGTTAACTAATTATTAATATACTCTAGAGTATAATAGTAAGAATGCCCTTATTTAAATTTATTAAAAAGATTAGTAGAATTATTATTTTAAAACTTACTTATTCTTACATACTCGAAATCCCTTATAATCTCTATTAATAATAAATAAGTTTACGTTTATTCTATTTTTTTAATTTAATAATTTTAACTTAAAAGCTTACGTAGCTACGATTTCTTTTACTTTTTAATTAATATTTTAAAATAATAAATAAATCGTCTAGGTAAAAGTTACCTACTTTCTATTCTAATCTCGCTCTATTTTTAGCCCTTTTTTTTATTTAATAATTAATATTTATACTCTTATAATCTCTCCTTTTTTAATTTCTCCTTTTTTAACTTCTCCTCCTTTAACCTCTCCTAATACTATAATTTACGCTAATAAATATATAAAAAATATAATAAATAATATTTTAAATCCGTAATAGCTAAAAGTTTAATAGTATTTCTAAGCGTAAGCTTAACTTATCCTTATAAAGCTTAGTATTAGCCCCGAGGGCAGAGTATTAAAGAGCGTAGGGGCCTAAGCTACTTTAACTAGTCTAGTAAAAATAGGGTAGTATTAAAGGTTAGTAAGATATAGCGGGATATACTAGTAAAAAGCCTATTTAAAACTAAGTAAGGCTATAAAATTATTAGTAATACTATATTATTATAAGTAAGATCGAGTATAGTAATATTAATACTTAGGGTTAGAAATAAACTACTTAGCTAGTTAGCGTTTAAAGTAAATACTAAATACTAATAGTATAAAATAATAGTAACTATATTTTAGTTAGTAAAAATATAAGCTTAGATAAGGCTACGTAAGGAGTAGTATATTTCGAAGTAAATTAATTTTTAAACCTATACTTAAAAGCGTAGCTAATAATACTCTTAGGCTACTAGGTAAAATTATATAGATTTAGTAAGATAAGTTATTAAGGGATAGGTTTAATAGAGTACTATAGCGGTACTAATAAAATAAGAAAGTAATTATAATTAAGAGGCATTACGTAACATATTTAAAATAGGGGAAAGGCAAAATTAAATAAAGAAATTAATTATAATATTATAAAAGGCTATGGACCTTTTAGTATAAGTACGCTATTAGTATTTTTTATAAGTTTTTCTTTATAACTCTATATTATACTTAGTAAAGTAAATTTTACTTAAAATAGTAGTTAGTAAAGCTAGAAAAAGAATATAGAGTACTATTAATATACCTTATTTTACTAAAATTAGTAAACTATATCGTTACGTCGTATTACGTTATACTACTTTTTAAATAAATAAACCCTTATTAAAAAAAAAAAGAAGCTCTTTTTATACTACGCGAACTACGTAATTTATAAACTATAGCCTATTACTTATTACTCTAAGAGAGTAGTATTATTAATAAGGGGCGTAAGGCCGTAGATACTATAAAATTCTTTATTAAGCTTTAAAAG